TTGCATTTTATGTTTAGTTATTGTTTAAAAATAGTTTTCATGTAAAGTCATTCATTTACAGAGCCCGACGTCTCGAGTCTCCTCTTCATGATGGTCGTTGCATTGGGGGAAGTTTGGCCAAAAAAAACAACATCCCATCACTAAATGTCCTCGCAGTACACACTAAAAAAAAATCTACAGCAACCTATTTGCTGTACGCTACTCCCCTCCTGAGTCAGTAAAGTACGGCGATGTTGTCAAGAGATCGAGTCACTGCTTCACCACCTTCAGTTGTTTTCTTCCAAAGATTGCTTGATAATGGTTTTCCTTCCAAACTCTCTCCCCCCCGCCCCCCCTGACGCTCGAGTTAAACAGCTGTTCTGTTTAACTCAGCTGTTCTGTTTAACTCAGCTGTTCTGTTTAACTCGAGCGGCGACGACTTTCCATTGTTGTCTGTCGACACAAAAGGGGCGCTTTTACGAAACATTTTAACAAGTTGCTGGCCCGCTGCCTTGGCGCACTCGGGGGGTCTCACGCCGCTCAAGGAAGTGCGGGCCTGTGGGGCTGTGGGGTTGTGAGGTTGTGGGGGTGTGGGGCTGTGGGGTTGTGGGGGTGTGGGGCTGTGGGGTTGTGGGGTTGTGGGGTTGTGGAGCTGTGGGGTTGTGGGGTTGTGGGGTTGTGGGGGTGTGGGGTTGTGGGGCTGTGGGGCTGTGGGGCTGTGGGGTTGTGGGGCTGTGGGGCTGTGGGGCTGTGGGGCTGTGGGGTTGTGGGGCTGTGGGGCTGTGGGGTTGAGGGGCTGTGGGGCTGTGGGGCTGTGGGGTTGTGGGGTTGTGGGGTTGTGGGGCTGTGGGGGTGTGGGGCTGTGGGGTTGTGGGGCTGTGGGGGTGTGGGGCTGTGGGGTTGTGGGGGTGTGGGGTTGTGGGGCTGTGGGGTTGTGGGGCTGTGGGGGTGTGGGGCTGTGGGGTTGTGCGGCAGTGCGGTTGTGTGGATGTGCGGCAGTGCGGTTGTGTGGATGTGCTGCTGTGGGGTTGTGTGGTTGTGCTGCTGTGGGGATGTATGGTTGTGCGGCAGTGCGGTTGTGTGGATGTGCTGCTGTGGGGTTGTGGGGTTGTGGGGTTGTGGGGCTGTGGGGCTGTGGGGTTGTGGGGTTGTGGGGCTGTGGGGTTGTGGGGTTGTGGGGTTGTGGGGGTGTGGGGTTGTGGGGCTGTGGGGTTGTGGGGTTGTGGGGTTGTGGGGCTGTGGGGTTGTGGGGGTGTGGGGCTGTGGGGTTGTGGGGCTGTGGGTTGTGGGGCTGTGGGGCTGTGGGGCTGTGGGGCTGTGGGGTTGTGGGGGTGTGGGGCTGTGGGGTTGTGGGGTTGTGGGGTTGTGGAGCTGTGGGGTTGTGGGGTTGTGGGGTTGTGGGGCTGTGGGGTTGTGGGGCTGTGGGGCTGTGGGGCTGTGGGGGTGTGGGGCTGTGGGGTTGTGGGGCTGTGGGGTTGTGGGGCTGTGGGGCTGTGGGGCTGTGGGGCTGTGGGGCTGTGGGGTTGTGGGGCTGTGGGGCTGTGGGGTTGTGGGGCTGTGGGGCTGTGGGGCTGTGGGGTTGTGGGGTTGTGGGGTTGTGGGGCTGTGGGGGTGTGGGGCTGTGGGGTTGTGGGGCTGTGGGGGTGTGGGGCTGTGGGGGTGTGGGGTTGTGGGGTTGTGGGGCTGTGGGGTTGTGGGGCTGTGGGGCTGTGGGGTTGTGGGGTTGTGGGGATGTGGGGTTGTGGGGTTGTGGGGCTGTGGGGCTGTGGGGTTGTGGGGGTGTGGGGTTGTGGGGTTGTGGGGCTGTGGGGTTGTGGGGTTGTGGGGCTGTGGGGTTGTGGGGCTGTGGGGCTGTGGGGTTGTGGGGTTGTGGGGTTGTGGGGCTGTGGGGCTGTGGGGTTGTGGGGTTGTGGGGCTGTGGGGTTGTGGGGTTGTGGGGTTGTGGGGTTGTGGGGTTGTGGGGCTGTGGGGTTGTGGGGTTGTGGGGTTGTGGGGCTGTGGGGTTGTGGGGTTGTGGGGCTGTGGGGTTGTGGGGTTGTGGGGTTGTGGGGTTGTGGGGCTGTGGGGTTGTGGGGCTGTGGGGTTGTGCGCGCGATTGGCAGCGTACGGTGCGAAAGAAGTTCAACACTGTGCCGTACATACACGGGAGGGGGGGGGGTGGTGTTTGTGTAACGAAGCGTCGTCCAATAACCACCTCGTTTTATTGCGGCCGCATCTCATGTAAGGATGCTCGTTTGTTTTTTCTTGATTTACGTCTGCCGCCGCTGCTGCTACTTCTGTGTGCGTTTGATGGATTCAATTGACACCCCAGCTCGACGTGGGCTGCGAGCGTCTGCGGCAGTCACTGCGATGCCGTAAAACGAATCGATCATTCCATCGAAATCGCGACCACGAATCGAGATTGATGGGATCACTCGTCAGGGGGTGAACGGTTACTCCCGCTGTGTGGGGCAACTGCTTTCAAGATGCCTTGTGTCTGCATCTACATCTCCTGGCATCCCCCCCCTCCCCCCCGACATCTACCCACACACGCTGCTGCTGCACCCTACATCGCCCAGCCTGTGAGATGCGAATGCAGAGTACAGGAGAGTGCAACTTGGCCAAAGTCAGCTTCCGAGAGAGGCAAAATCAGAGAGGTTGCTCGTCTCCATCCGTGGCCCTGAGTCAGTGGTGGAAATTCCACATTCCTGTGGCAGGGGGTTCAACTGTCCATGTGGCAGAGCCGTTGCTGACGTACCGAAATCTTGTACCTATTTGATTGACCGTGGAGGGATGAAATTTGAACTGGTAAAAATTGGGATTGCGAGTTTGTGATCTAACCACGGCACCACTCGAACAGACATGTGCAAGCTAACTTGAGGATGTAACTATTACGTGTCATGAGTGCTATCATTTACTATCATTTATTTTGTACCATGCACTAAAACGCTCAAAACTATGAACCAACTTTTTAAATATTTCATCAGTTCCCCAAGTATGTTACAACACACAGTTGGCCTAAATCCAACATTTTTTTTTTAAACATGGGCCTCTTTCTAAAACAACAACACGTAAAAAAAAACCACACAATGAAACCGTCCGCGCTTCAAACTGCCAGGTCAGCCGATCTGAATGTCACAATAAAAGAAAAGAACGTGCGCCCGCTGATCGTTCGAGCACGGAACTCATCGGCGCTCCCGCAAAGCACCGCCTCTTCGCAGGCTGACATCCCGTGCGTCCCACCTGCGCTCGCTTTGATGTCGTGGGATTTCTTCCCGTCATTGTCTCCCCCCCCCCCACCCCCGCGTCGCTACAAAGCGCCTCGGCTAAGACGCTCCGATCCCTTACTCGAAAGGGGGGAACGTGATTGTTCGCGCCTCCGTCATCGTGACGCCACGCATTCCGGCCACCGCGATCAGGGTGGGGTGGGTGGGGGGGGCAGGACCCCCTTGTTTCCCCCCCCCCCCATCCGGGTTAATGTGCGTCGCACAAACCTGATCATTTCACGCTCCAACAATTCCCGCAATTTTATTCCGCTACCCCCTTCAGGGTTTTAGCTTCCCCACAAAGCGGCCGAGTCCACTCGGGTGCGAGCGACTTGTTCTCGCCCGGCATGTGGAGGTCACCTCGAGCTGTCCCACACGGGGCTTGGTGGGTCAGAACGCTCGTCTGCCAATCGGAGCCCTCCCGAGTTCAAACCCCGGGTCGAGGGTCAACGCAGCCCATCGCTATCGTCATCCCTCCACTAGTCGTTAAATAAGCCCCGGCTTGTGGGAAGCATACGACAGTTGTCCCACGGACACACTTGCCCCTGCCATAGGAATGCGCGATTCCTCGCCGCTGCTGACGTTGGGGCCTTTGAACGAGGAAATGACGATTGACCCCACGTTTGCCTGAGCGGGAAATCACTTTTGACACGCTTCGCAGCGTTGATTACGTCAATGTCCACGTGCGCGACAAATACGAGCAGTTGAGCACATTCATAAACACTGTCAGAGGGCAGTTCCCAGTCAGGGGTTTCACTCATCTCCCCCCGGGGGTGGATCACAAGGTCGTCGTCGCGTGGGGGACACTCAAAGTGGGGTGTCCAGCGGGGCGACTGGCTGCCGCCATAGGAATGTGGAATTTTCACTCCCGACTCACGGCCGCCCACGCAAATGAGCGCCGCGCAATCCCCGCGCGCCCCGCGTGGGTTCGACGTGGATACGTGCACGTCCACCGGAAGACGGCATTTCTCCCGGGTCTCCCTTGCTTAAGAGGCGCAATGCATTCTCTCACATTGTCATTAGTGGGGCATTCCCATTGACTGATTGACCGATTAAATTAATGACTGATTGATATATTTTTTTTAAATGATTGATTGATCGTGGATCTCTCCCCCCCCTCCCCCCACCTCCACAAACGAGTGCACGGATAAAACAATACGACCCGTGTTGTGAAAACAGTGCGTTTGAGTGCAGTAGTAAATCGTCACACTGAAGGAGGAGGAGGAAGAGAGTCCAAGAAGGGAGCTCCAGACCCAGGAGAAGCAGCGACCTTCCATCGAGCAAAGCCTCGCTGGAGGATCAAGCAGGAGGCATTGGTTGTTGGAGTAGAGGGCAAGGAGAATTAGAGCGAGGTGGGAGTCCACGGGGGATCTCGAAGATGGTAAGAGAATGTGAGAGACAGAGAGAGCAATAGAGAGAAAGGGACAGAGAGAGATATGTAGGGCAAGAGAGACACTCGTAGACGAAGCCAGAGAGACACAGGTATAGGCAGCGACAGTGACGGAGAAAGATAGACGGTGACGGGAAGACGTAAAAGCAGACGGAAGGAGACGGAGCGAGAGAGAGATCATCTGGATCCTAGGCCAGCGTGAGACAACAAGATCGTCCGCTCCAAGACAACCAACAACCGCGAGGTTTTCGGCTGCTCGTGGCGAGACGTGAGACGTCGGCTTTGAACAGAAGCACGGAGCCCAGAGGAGGCGGAAAGACGGAGCTCGCCGCGCCGGCGCGGAACGGCAGCCGGCGCGGAGCGAAGGCGGCGCGGGGCGCCCGTACCTGGCACGAAGGCCTGCGCCGGCGCGTACTGCCCGTAAGCCGTCGCGTGGTGCGTAAAGGCACTAACGGAGCCCGGGCACGGGTCCGTGGCGAGGCCCGGGTGGATGGGCTGCAGGTCGGCCAGCGCGTGGCCCGCTAGCGCGGAGGGGGAGTGGCTAGCTAGGCTGCCCTCCATCGCCTTCTGTTTGAGGCTGATGGGGGACGGGCGTTGGTCTAGGGACAGAGCGGGGCGGGGAGGCGGGGGGGGAGACACAAGCACAGCGACATGCACACGGCCGTGAGTACGCGCATGCAGGGGTGGGGAGCGGCAGCCATGCACAATGCGACGACACGACGATGGAGCATCGCGAACCGAGATGAAGCGTCGAAGACCGTGGCGGTGGCGCGTTACCTACAGCCGACCGGGGCTGCTCATAGTAAATAAATAATAGACAGACAAAACGTCGGTGCCTCGACGCTAACTGGCATTCCAGTTTTGTCCATCAGCCGATGGGCCCCGTGGACCGGTGTTTTCCCAAGAGCGTTTGTTTCAAAAGCGACAAACCCGGGGCCGGTTTTCACTCTCTCTGAGTCTCATCGGCAGAGTGCGTGCGGTGCCGTCAATCGGCAGACGTTTAGTTGCCAGATGTTACAGATGAGATGACACCACCTTCGTCGTGAGACTCCAAAAGTTGTGGGTTTGAAAAAAGTTATAGGTTTTACCCTTTCTGGCAATAAAACAGCGGGTTTTCAGATGTTATGACACCTAGGAATCAAGTCTGCATTAACCACACGTGCTTGTGATGAGCATGGAAACAAAATATGTTCTGATAATATATGGCATTGTCTTTCAAACTGATTGGCCTTCACCAGACAGCCTTCTTTAGGGCCAAGTGTCGTCCAGTGTCAGACCAGAGAACGCCAAAAGGCGTACAGTGCAAACACAGGTGTTTTTTGGGGGGTTAGATCACGTAACTATTTACGCGTAACTATTACACGTGACCTAACCCTAAGAAGTAACCTGTATTATGGATGATATTGGTTCGCGAAAGCTTACGTGTTAAGCATTACCAGGACAATGCGCCTGCAGAGCAATTTATAGTTTCGGGGTGAGCAGCTACAAAACGGGACCCATTTCCGAGTTCAAGGAAACGATGCCATGGAGATGACGGTCCTCGAAGGCTCGCACAGCCTGACGGAGAAAACGCCCGAGCTGACGTTACGCGGAGAAACGCACAATTGTCCGATGTGTGTTTTTTTTTTATCACGGCCTGCGAACATAGGCGATGGCGCGTAATGGGTTCGATCAGTCGGGCCGTGAGTGCCGCCTATCACGGCCAAAACAAAAAAACGTGGGGACCAAAATGAGGGCCGCGCTGTGGGTTTGGGAACAGCGGAGAGACTGGGCCCTGCCATCGGAATGGAGAAAAAACAATTTTGTATTTCTCTTCGGTATGGAACTCGTTCGGGCTCATTATGGAATCTCGGTGCATTGGCTGTATTATTTTGAGAGAGAGAAAAACATTTCCCTGAGTAAATGGTTAAATTGCGTGAAATACTGAGGCATTCCAGTGCTCGAGTGCGTGTTTGTTGAAAGTTTCCCGTACAGTGAAATTCAAAGCGGCCCAGCATTAAAATTCCAATCTGTGTGTTTGTTGCTTTAAATGTATATTCCCAAATGACACTTATACCAAAAATATATACGACTAAATGGGTCAAATTTGTATTTATATATGTGTGTGTGTGTGTGCGTGAGCCGGGCGTGGTGCTAGCCGCCAACCCATGCCGGCCTTCATCGGTGCTACTCGATAACTTGCCCCACGAGTCTGTTAAAGGCTATGCGGGGGGACCTTGGTCTTTGAAAGTGCACAAGTACATGTGCGGACGGTCTTTGTGCATGCACGTGTGTTTATGTGTGTGTGTGTGTGCATGTACTTGTGTGCGTGCTTAGTGGTGTGTTCGTGTGCGTCTATGCGCGTGCGTGCGTGCGCTAATGTGCGTGAAGTTTGCGCCGAACCCCGTAGGTCGCTCGCAAAGGAATGTCTCATTATTTAATTACACGCACGAAGCGGTGTCGCGAAAGCGTCCCGACGAAAGACAAACGCGGCGACCCGCACGTGACTTACGCAGCACGATCGACGTGGCACCACGCGCGTCTCACGTTGCAGTGACTCAAGCGGGCAATATGGACGGGGGGGACACACTGAACTACATAGCTCTTATTAAGACCTGGCCACAAATGAAAGCTCAACGAAGTGGCTCATCATGTGGAAATTTACAGCAGCCAAATACTCTAAACGCACGTTCCAAAATATGGACCTGGATAAAAATCCACGCGACCACGGGGAGAGAGAGAGACATTTAAAATCCAAATATACAGCAGGCGTCGTCAAGGTCGGGATCGAACTCACGACCTCCTGTGTTCTGCGATTGTCAATCCACTGCAGGCTGAAGGCCTCCCCGTGCCGTGCCAGTCGTGGGTGTTGTTTGACCATGCTTCACCACACATGTCAGTGCCGGCATGGTGAAGAGGGGACCAGGACCCGTGTAGCTCAGGTCAGTGGATTCATAGCCCAGGGTCACAAACTCTTGCGTCACCGCTTGGCGTGGCTAGAGATCAGTTTCTGTCACTGGGTGGCTGGGATAAGGCAGAGCTCCTGAGAACCAGCCACAGGGTATCATAAAAATTGAGCACCGCTTTATTGAAAGTCAACAGCGGTTGTCACATGTGGGTGTCCTGGTCCATGCCATAAGAATGTGGAATTATCACCACTGAGTCAGGGCCATCGATGGGAATGAGCACGATGCCAAGCGTGTTTGAATCGAAGCACACTTCGGATTGACTCTGGCGAGCGCGCATCCCTCTTGTCGCACGTAAACAAATCTCATTTTGTAAATGTGTTTTGGCTCGTTCACATTTCAAGTCTTTGATGACACTTTAAACAAACACGTGTGGAAGCGTGTGAATGCACAGCAAGGCATCGTTCATTTTAAGCAAATCCAATTCGGTTCAAGTTATTGTTATAACTGGCACAGATTGGATTCTTAAATAAACAAACGAACACAAATATAAACAAATCAAAACAACAATAAAAAGAGAAATGTGGCGCGGGTAGTTCTGCATTGCAAGCACAGACATGAACAATAGCAGGCGCACACATGAACAACAGCAGGCACACACGGGGACGTGAACAACAGCCATGGGCAGAAGTCATCGCGACGACGTTTGGAGCCATCGCGTTGCCGTCGCACGTCTACCGATCGTGCGCTGCACGGGAGCGCCGCGCGGCTCAACCGGGTGACGAACGTTCAGGCGAGGCATCTGAAAGGTCTGAGGGGTTCACAACGGCAACGTCACAGCGCGGAACAGGCACCGCTGAGATCCGGGGTTCAAACCCTGGGTTCAGACCTGGGTTAAAAACCTGGGTTCAAACCTGGGTTCAAACCCTGGATTCACACCCTGGATTCAGACCTTGGTTCAAACCTGGGTTCAAACCCTGGATTCAGACCTCGGATTCAAACCTTGGTTCAAACCCTGGGGTCAAACTCGGGTTCCAGCCACCCGTGATGAAACTACGTTGTCAAGCCCAAAGGGGCGATGATCTTGGCCCGGTAATTATTACGTAATTTTTTTTTGTATTAAATAACAGTGCCCACAGTAATTCGTGACGATGTACCGCTGCTGGACTTAAACAAAAGGATCGAGCAAGACGCAGAGGATGCTAGAAATTTCAGGCAAGGATAGGGTAAAAGCAGCTTGGAAGTTCAGAATGGAACGTGGCAGGAAAGCACTATAAGTGTAATCAGGAAGGGCAGGTTGCGCAGGGCAGATAGGACACGCGTGCAGAGTGGAGGAGCAGAGGGGCAGGTTATGGGAACGGGCAGTGGAGTGGCACTCAGAGGTCGGAGGTCACGGGGGAGGCCTAAGCGCGATTGAGGTGGTGGTGAGACTGTGCGCGTGGAACTTAACGGTCGAGATTCATACTTTGCAACAGTTGCAGAATCTGGCAAAATAGGCAAGAAGCAATGGCATCAGCATCAGTGGCCGTGATGACCTCGCAATATTGGGCAAAGGTGAACCGTGGTGTTGGCAGAACACTTGCCGGGCGTGTTCTCCACGTTCAAGAGCTGGGCCCTCGTTGTAAACGGACTCCTTGAGTTTATTCGGCAAACACAGCTGCGCAGCTCCCAATCCCGCCACTAAGATCCATTTGACGAAGAGAGCGTCCCGCCCCAAATGATAATGCGCACGCGTTCCGACGGATACAGAAGGGTTTGCTGCTCGCATTTCCTTTCCGCTCCCCGTGTGAGTGGCGTCCGCGAGAAATGACAACGCTAGCAGGGAGTGGCTTCCTCTAAGCCATCCGCGCCGCACCTCAGGAATTGTGAGCGTATTCGTTGTCGGCATTACCGCCAATTATATTGTTTTTTTCCTTTGCACGAATAATGGCATACAACTGCATTCGTCCAAAGAGCTTGACCCGTGATGGAAATGTCACGAGTTTCAATTCCAGGTCGGGGCTCCGCTCGGACCGCCACCTGCGGCGTCGACAGCGAGCACCGTGTTGTCGTTGTGAGAGGTCGACCGTGGTCATGCCACGGAGAGACGGTTTCCCACCATAGGAATGTGGAATTTCCTACATAGGCTCAGGGCTCTTTAACAGGGATGATAGATGACGACGACGACGACGACCACCCATACCCGTTTGACTGCGGAGACATTTTGTCCTTTAATGTTGATATTTCACACAATGTCACGGTCGGCTTCCAATTCTCAACAACCGAGGACCTTGGACAAACAAGAACTTTCCCTTCGCCGTCCTCTTTGAAACAAACCTCCCACGGCGGTCTTGTTGACCTCCCACACTCGACGGTGACAATTAAACACCCGAGGCCCCCGTGTGGGAGGGGGGGCAGTGGGGCAGGAACGCATTCCCTACAACAACAGCCGCTGAAGCGCGGCTCCACGTGACTCGCTTTCCAGCCGCGTCACCCTGAGTGGACTCTCCTGTAATCCAGCGAGAGTGTCGAGCCTTTCCAGGACTCTGCCCGCTGACAAAAGGGCTACCGGACCCTTGCGCTCTTTTTTTCCCTCTTTCTCTTTTTAGGCCTTTCTTTTCCGATATTTTTCATCCACTCCACTCGGCCGAGAGCAAAAGTGTATCTGCTGGTAAAACAGGGAGCCCTCGAAAAGTCCCACGAGTGGGTCTCGAGTGCCCCGCCACTAACAACAG